CTTCCTTTCTTACTCTGCCCCCACTCCTTTCCAACTATACCAGCCTTTTTGCAGATTCTGAAACATGGCATGCTGAACCTTTTCTAGGGGACTTCCTCTGCTGAGCCTCTTCCCCTATTCCCACCTCTCCCAGACTGAAATGCTCTACCCTAGATGTCTGCCTGTCTTGATCTCTCACTTTATTAGGGTCCTCACTTCCTTCTCAAGTCTTCTTAGAGAAGTCTTCCCTAGTACACTCTCTAAAATAGTCTCTCCACCCGTCATAGAGCCAATTTATTTGTTTATAGTAATACCACTTCCCCTCTCCCAGCTTTATTGAGGTACAACTAGTATACAATTAAAAAAAAAAAAAAAAGAAGAAAGAAAAAAAACCCCTGCATGTAACTAATGTACAGTTTGGTGGGTTTGGGCAAATGTATATACTCATGTTATCACTACAAGCCAGATAATAAACATATCCATTACCTCCAAATTTTCCTTGTGTCCCTTCGTGTTTTTTTTTTTTTTTTTGTGGTAACAGCACTTCACATGAGATCTACTTTCTTTAATTTTTAAGTTCACAGGATCTTACTGTTAACTACAGGCACTAGGTTGTTCAGCAGATTTCTGGAACTCACTCATGTTGTATTACTGTAAATTTATGCCCATTGAACAACAACTTCCTATTTCTCCCTCTCACCCATCCACTGGTAACTATCATTCTATTGTCTACTTCCTTTGGCTACTTTAGATGTCTCTTATATATAAGAGAAATATGCAGTATTTTTCCTACTGTGACTTACTTATCCCACTTAGAATAATGTATTACAGATCTACCCGTGTTATCATAAATGGTAAGATGTCCTTCTTTTTATTTTCCTCTTAATTTAATTTAAATTTTTTAGATGGAGTCTCACTCTTGTTGCCCAGGCTGGAGTGCAGTGGCACAATTTCTGCTCACTGCAGTCTCTGCCTCCCTGGTTCAAGTGATTTTCCTGCCTCAGCCTCCCAAGTAGCTGGGGATTATAGGTGCTCACCACCACATCTGGCTAATTTTTGTATTTTTAGTGGAGATTGAGTTTCACTGTGTTCAGGCCGGTCTCAGATTCCTCAGGTGATCTGCCTGCCTCAGCCCCCGCAAGAAATCTCCTTTTTACAGTCTAAATGATATTCTGTTATGCCACCTTTTCTTTACCTATTCATCTGTGATGGGCATTTGGGTTGTTTTCATATCTTGTTATTGTGAATAATGCTGCAGTGTACATGACAGTGTAGATATGTCTTCAAGATCCTGGTTTCAATTCTTTTGAATACATATATGTATCTCCAGAAGTTGTATTGCTGGATCATATGGTAATTCTATTTTTAATTTTTTGAGGAATTACCATACTGTTTTCTATAGCAGCGGTACAATTTTACATTCCTATTAATAGTATACAAGGATTCTAATTTCTCTACAACCTCACCAACACTTGTTATCTTTTGTTTTCTGGGCAATAGCCATTCTAACCAATGTGAGTTGATATCTGTTTGTGGTTTCAATTTGCATTTTTCTGGTGATTAATGATACTGAGCATATTTTTATATTATCTGTTGGCCATTTGTATGTCCTTTTTGGGGACATGTTTACTTGATTCCTTTTCCAATTTTCTAACCAAATTATTTATTTTTTGCTCTTGAGTTTCAGAAATTCGCTATATAGTTTGGATATTAACCCTTTATCAGATATGTGGTTTGCAAATATCTTTTCCCATTCCATAGTTTGCCTTTTCATCATTCTGTTGATCATGTTCTTTGCTGTGCAAAAGTTTTGAAAAATTTCTTACAGTCCCACTACTAGTTTTGCTTTTGTTGCCTGTGCTTTTGGTGCCCTATCCAAGAAACCATTTTTGTCAAAACCCATGTCAAGAAGTTTTTCCCTCACATTTTCTTCTAGGTATTTTATAGTTTTATGGTGTCAAATTTTACATCAAATCTTTAATCAATTTTTGTTAATTTTTGTGTATGGTGAAAGATAAGCATCCCATATCATTCTTCTGCAGATGAAGATCCAGTTTTGCCAACTGCATTTATTGATAGACTACCCTTTCTCCATTGCATATTCTTGGCATACTGTAGAAAATCAGTTAACAATACATATGTGGGCTTATTTCTGGGGTCTCTATTTTGTTTCATGGTTTGGTATGTCTGCTTTTATGCCAGTGCCATACGGTTTTGGTTACAGTAGCTTTGTAATGCATATTGAAGTCAGGAAGTGTGATGCCTCCAACTTTGTTCTTTTTGTTCAAGATTTCTTTGGCTGTTTGGGGTCTTTTGAAGTTCCACATGAATTTTATAGCTTTTTTCTCTACTTCTGTAATAAACACTTTCTGAGATTTTTGACAGGGGTTTTATTGAATCTAAAGATTATTTTGAGTCATATGGATGTTTTAACAATATTGATTCTTCCAATCCATGAACACAGTATGTCTTTCTATTTATTTGTCTGTTTTAACTTTTTTTAATCAATATTTTATAATTTTCAGTGTACAAATCTTGCACCTCCATGGTTAATTTATTCCAGAGTATTTTACTATTTTTGATGCTATTGTAAATGGTATTGTCTTAATTTCCTTTTCATATAGTTCATTATTGGTAGTTACATTACTTTTTGGTTTTGTGTTGTATATTTATTAGTGCAGCCTCTTATTAATTATTCATATCTGTAGCCCTAGCACCTAAAGCAATGCGTGGTACATGATAGGCTCTTGATAAATAGTTGATGATTCATTAAGAGAATGAATATCTACTGATATAAATTATAAGGAGAAGCAATATAGTAATTTCATCCATGACCTTTATAGCAAAGGAAGTCATGAAGAATGAAATAGGGAAGTGATATGGAATGAGGTTTAAGTACTGGAAAAGTGGCTCAAGAGGCTGAAGTTTTGAACTATGAGTTGGAATGTATTTTAGAATGAATTAGAAATAAGAGACCTGTAGACTAGGGTCCTTGATTATCAAGAGTAAAGGGATCACATTCAAGGCTTGATAAGGCTTACTTCAGCCAAATTTATTTTTTCTTAAAACATTGGAATTTATTTATTTTTTCCATATGAAAATTCGTTATTTTCTGTGCATCCTGAGGCACAAACGAAAAGGTGTATCTTTTATATAATTTTGTTGAAATTTGGAAATATTATTTGTTTGGGGTTTCTAATTTCTTGTGCAATTGTTTTTCCAAAAGTTAAGCAGGAAAAAGGGATTTAAGGTGGGAGGGAGAGAGAGAAGAAGAGAAGGATTTTGCTTTTCTTCTTTTATTAGCAGAAAAAAATGTGACTGCTAGCAGCAGGTTTTGGAGAGGGGAACAGGGAGCTAGATGTGCAGAAGCCGAGAGGGGATATGAGGACATAAATATCTTCCCTGTGAGTGTGGCAGAGAGGCAGTATGATTGTTGTCCACAAAATATTAATAAGAAAGTGGCAGAGAAGCAGATAAACTGACTCAGCACACTCTTATGTTTTGAATTTTTTTTAAGAGAACTGATAACGTGAGGTGTTATAATAGCAGAGAAGGGAGAAAAATGACCTGTATATACTTCATACTCTCCAAGAGTTTTGGTTATGTTTCTTTCTTTAATTATATTTATTTCATGGTAAAATAAAGTTATTTTTATTATAAGATAATGTACACCTGGAAATTGATGAAAACAGCAATAGAACTGTTGATAAGGAATGAAAATATATAAAAGGCTTTGACATGAACACTTTGAGGTTTAATTAATTTTAAATTAATAGTTAGAAAATCCGTGCACATGACAGCCCTTCCTCTGCCTTGTGCCACACTTCAGAAATATGTCTCAGTTGACTTCATCATGGGAAAAAAATGGGTTAAATTAAAAAAGTATGTTGGATGTAAGAGCAAATACTTGGGAGATTTAAATGAAAAGTTATGAGTTAAAAGTAAAAAGAGAAAATCCATGTATTGTGTCTTGCCATACTTAGAATCTGGGTGCATTTGATGAACTGAAGATTAAATAGTTTCTGGGAACTGTTAAAGCCAGGGGCTTTTCCGTATTCCCAGCATGATTCAGCATGGGAAATTTCAAGTCAGTGTAAGCATGCAGGGTGTTTTGTGAGCAGCAAAACCCTGCCAGCTTCTAAGCTTCATGGGAAAAAATAAATAAATATGAAAGATACCAGCTCTCTGAATTCAAGCGAACAAAAAATGTTCTGAAAAGGAAGGGGAAGCTCAGTGAAGAGAACCTTATTCCAGGGAGCAATTTAGTCATGGCAAAAATCCTAGATCTTTAAGACCTGAGTTGTTGATATTGATTATGGGAGAAGATTAGATACAGATATCTAAAACTCCCTGATAAAATTGGAATATAAAACCATTTAAACAATGTAATGAGAAGTCAAGAGATTTGGAGCCTGGAAGCCTGGGTTTGAGTCCCAGATCTATCACTTGCCTATTGTTATTGAAGTATAATATACATACAAAAAGCTGCGTAAATGGTGGTACCCTGGCTCTTCCCAAAAGACACAAATGCATGTAACCAGCACTCACTGAAATTAAGAATCAGATTATTAGCAACATCTCAGGAAGCCCCTTTTCACTCCCCCCACCTTTTTTTTTACTGGCCCCCAAGGGTAACTAGTCTCCTGATTCCTGATTTCTAACAGAGCAGATTCATTTTGGCTGATTCATCATAATTTTATATGAATAGAATCATTCAAGATGAAGTCATCTATACTTAGTCCCCTTGGCTCAACATTATGTTTGTGATTTATTCATGTTGCTGTGTCTAGCTCTAATCTGTTACTTTTCATTGCCAAATTATATTGTTTGGTATAAATAAACATAATTGATACAATCTACACTTGATGGACACCTGGACTGTTTCCAGGTTTTGGTTATTCTCAGAATAACCAAATACAAGAATGTTGCTAAGGAACATTGTATACGTTTCTTCTTGTGAACATCTGAATGCATTTCTCATCATCTGCTAGGGGTGCTGTAACAAAGTCGCAAAGACTGGGTAGTTTAAACAACAGAAATTTATTTATTCACTTTTCTAGAGACTGGATGTCCAAGGTTAAGAGGTCAGCAGATTTGGTTTATTCAGAATCTTCTCCTTAGTTGCAGATGTCACCTTCCCATTGTGTCCTCACACAGTCTTGCCTCTGTGTCCTGATGTTTCTTTCTCTTATAATCACATCATTCCTATTGAATTAGGGGTCCATCCTTTTTACTTCATTTAATCTTGATAATCTTCTTGAGGGCACTGCCACGAAATAAATACAGTCACATTAGTGGATAGGACTTCAACATATGAATTTTGGTAGGACACAATTCAGTCTATAATGCCATTTCTATGGGTTATATTCTTAATAAATGCTGGATCATTGAATTTGAATACATGTAGGTTTAATAGACACTGACAGTTTTCCAGAGTGGAAATGCAGATCAGTTCAACCTCTCTGGAAAACTGTCAGTGTCTAGAATTAGTTACTTCGTAATGTTAGTAAATATGGCAGTCTTTCTCATTTTAGCTATTCTGGTATGTATGTACATGGCATATCACTATGATTTAATTAGCATTTCCCTGAATATCTTTTATATATTTATTAGTCACTTGGATATCCTCATTTGTAAAATGTCTGTTCAAAACTTTTTGCTATTTAAAAAATTCAATTGTCCACCATTTTCTTATTGATTTGTAAAAGTTCTCATCTATCCTGGAAATAAAATATTCTTTGTTGAATAGGTATCTAGCAAATATCTTCTGCTAGTTGATGTATTTTCTTTTCAGTCCTTAGTTTTATTCTGATTAATATAAGTAATTTTAACAGGGATGTTTAATTTATAAATTTTTCTTTTATGGCTAGTGCATTTTTAACCTTATTTAAGTATTTAAGTAATCTTTGCTTGGCTTTCAGTTATGAACATTTTTTATTTTTTAACAATAGCTTTATTATTTTACTTTTATATTTAGATCTCCTGTACATCTACAGGTGATTTTTGTGTATTGTGTGGGGTTTGAGAAGGGGTCATGATTTATTTTGTCTGTGTAAAATTCAGTTGATCTCAAATCATTTATGTAAAAAGCCCATCCTTCCTTGCTGCACTGCAGTGTCACCTTTGTCATTAATCAGGTGACAGTTCTAATAATGGGTCAGTTTCTGAATGTGCTCTTCTTTTTCACTGGTCTTTATTTTTATCCATGAGTCCATAGCAAACTAAATGTAAGGGCTTTATATTTGACTGGCTTGACTTCTTATATTAACAGTAATCTTTGTCCAGGGCCGTTCTTGGCCTTTTGCATTTTTAAACACATTTTAAAATTAGCTTATTAATTTCCACAAAAACATCTTCTGGAATTTTGATTGGGATTACACCAAATTTATAAGTAAATTTAGGAAAAACTGATATTTTAAAAATATTGAACCTTCCAATTCATGGAACATGGTATATCCTATTATTTAAATCTTTCTCAATTTCTGTCAGGAAATTTTGTAGTTTTCTATATAGCTGTCTCATATATCTTTCACTAGGTTTATTCCTACATATTTTATGATTTTTAAATATTATTGTAGTTTAGCCAAGTGATTTAATTTATTGCCATCCATACTCTAAGTATATTTTGAATTTTGAATAATATTGATCCAAATATAATCTAGCCAAATAATAATGATCAAATAGTGTCTTCACCCATTCCTTCATGCATTTCTTTATTAAATAGTCATTTATTGCATGCCCCTCGTATGGTGGTTGGTCACAGTGCTAGATGCTAGGCACACAAAATAAGGCAGTTTTTATTATAGAGGAGGTAACAGTTCATGGCTAAACAAACAATTACAATACAGGATGGCAAACTGAAGAGGTGTGACTAATTAGGAAACCCAGAATGATGCTGAATAATAATCAGGATAATTACAGAAGTCATGTTAAGGAGTAGCATCAGAAATAGCACAATCACTTCACAAGGGGACAATAAAGAGAAACTATAAAAACTTCTTAGAGAATCATATCACACCAAATTGGTGCTAAATTAAACTCAAGTAAGAAGGTAAGAGCCTTGAAATACAATGTGATCTGTGTTGCCTTGATTTAATGGGATTTTGAGGAGTAGGAGCCATAAACATAAATGCAACAAGTGATCTTCTCCAGGCTGAGAACCCAAAAGAAAGGGCCTGCTTAGGTCACCAAGAATTTATGTGGAAGCACTGGGATGGGAACTGAGACAAAACCAGCTCCATTATTTATTTACAAGCCTGCTGTAGGAAGTATGGATTCTTTTGTGTTCTAGAAGGAATATAAACAAACTTCTGCTCTGTTTATTTGTATACAGGATACTACTGAATTTTTGTAAACAAAGTAGACTGTTAGGAATAAAGGATAGTTTGATTTAGGATATGTGTCCATAGCATATATTATCTAAGGAGAGTATGCTGCCTATTGACCGTGGCAAATTCATGATATTAAGGCAAATGGAAGAACAATGAAAAGGAAGGATTGAAAGTACAAGGAATTGAGTAGTGAGGATTTTGAATTTCCACTAGTTCTGAAAAGTATGTCTAATTTAAATAAAAGGGAAATGGATATAGTAGAAATGGCTTTCAGCTAGAAAAGAGAAGTAGTCTCAGTTTCTACCTGTACTTTCTAAGCTATGCAACCTCTCTGGCTCTCAGTTTCTTATACAGAATACATTGCTTTCCCTCCACAGCAACTCACCTAGTAATTGCACTCAATAAATATGAGATAAATGAATGAATATATAGGAGACAATGAGTTGGAGGGGGTCTTTATTGGGTCTTCTTAGTTTTCTTTATATTTTTAAAGAATCATATTTTCTCTCATGGCTTACATTTTATTTCTGCTGTTGACGTTTAAATTATAAATCCATCTCATATAATTCTTTGAACTCTAGGTATGCACATCTATTTTCTTTTAACTGGACATCTGCAATTGGATACTCTGACTAAAAATTGGCATACCTAATACGAACTCATTGATTTTTATCTTCCTCCCAACTTGCTCTCCTCCTGTGCCCCTACTTTAGTTAATGACATTCAACAACAGACCCAGTTGCCCAACATCCTTTGCTCAGGATTTCCTGAAAGGATTATCTCCCAAATAGCCCTGGGAAGCAACCATTTCTCTCTATATTCATATTCCTACAATCCTTGTTTAGGTCATCGCAAAAATGGCCTGAACAACTATAACAGCCTTTCAAACCGGTCTCTCTGACTTTAGAATATTCCTTCGATTTGATTGCATTATTTTAGACAGTAATCTTACAAAAATACAACTCAAACCCCTTCACTCTCTACCTAAAATCATTCAGTGATTCCACATTGCCCCAAGGATAATGTGCCAACTCCCTAAAGTGGCTTATCATCTTCGTTAGATACTCCAGCTTTCCTTTCCAATCTCATTTCTCCAAGAAATTCCATCTTCTGCCAGACTGAGCTGCTGTCCTCACCTGTGCTTTATGCTCTACTTTCCTGACACTGAACATGATGTTCTCCTGGCCTAACTGCTTCCCCCTTCCACCCAGCTCTCACCACCGGCCTTCACATCTTAGCTTCCTCACCTGACAGTGTTCTCACCATCTGTATCATTTCAACCTAGAAATCACCTTTGTAAAGATGTCTTTTCTGATGGCTTCCTTCCCTGTGGTTGCTACCACTCCTTTTCTAGGACATTTCTCTCTGTGATGTATTATCTGTTAAATGTCTGAATCCCCCACAAGATGAAAAATCTTTGTGAGTATGTGAATGTTTACCTGTCTGGTTCATATTCATTGTGTTGTCTAATTGTCTGGCTCAGCATAAATTATTAACAAATATTTATAAAATAAAATTACTCTTGCAATATTAAAATACTATAATAGAATGTTAAAATCATAAGGCTGAGAGATTTATGAGGTCACAAAATCATAATACTATAATAGAATGTTAAAATCATAAGTCAAATTTGAGGGTGAGTTCAAATTTGACTGGCGGGGATTGGGGAATAAAGAAAATGAGAGCCTGGGGTACTTCAGAGAAGTGCGTATTTTATGACGTCAAAGAGTTGTACTGTTCGTTTGGGATTTGGGGAATTAACCAGAGGACAGTTCTTTCACTGCTGCTGCTATAATGTAAGCTCGAGGGACAATGAAGAACACTCTAGCTTGAAAAACAGACTTTAGGGAAAAGCTCTTAAAATTTGGGGTGTTACATAAGAGGATATGACACATCTTGCCTGATGAATAAAGCTCTGCTGAAAACTTCTAAAAAGAGGCTGCATCTGCTTTGGTTGCTTAGAGGCATGCATATTCTCTGACCACTGTTCTCTCCAAAACATTTTGAGAATATAGTTTTCTAATTCACTGTATTTTGTCAGGTGTCAAAGACTGAATTGCTAAATGGGAGAAAGTTTGGGGACATAGAGGAGGCACTCATGATAAAGTAGAAACATGAAAAAGATTTGCTTGTGAGTTAATTTTATTTCTAATTTAGAAATAGGGTAGTGAGGCTGGCCGTGGCGGCTTATACCTGTAATCCCAGCACTTTGGGAGGCTGAGGTGGGTGCATTAGCTGAGGTTAGGAGTTCAAGACCAGCATGGCCAACATACAGTAAAACCCTGTCTCTACTAAAAAAGTACAAAAATTAGGCATGGTTGCATGCACTGTAATCTCAGCTACTCGGGATGCTGAGATAGGAGAATTGCTTGAACCCAGGAGATGGGGGTTGCAGTGAGCCAAGACTGTACCACTGGACTCTGGCCTGGGTGACAGAGTGAGACTGTCTCAGAAAGAAAGAAAGAAAGAAAGAAAGAAATAGGGTAGTGACAGATCTTCAAGACTAATAAGCTGATTTTCTCTTGTAAAGCATATTCTGTGAGGGAAAGTTACATATTAAAATATGACACTCCTTATAAACACAGTATTCATTCCGCTTTCCAGGAGAAGGGCGTGTGCTTCTTACCTGTCTAAGTAGCTATCCTTTTTCTTCATTTTCACTCCTCAGGATGGAAATTTTTCTAAAATGTATTAATTCCATGCCTTTTAGATAATATAATTAAAACAAATATATCTTTAAAATATGGTTTTATTTTTCAAAAAAAGGGATAGATTGCTTTTCAGTATTGCAGTGTGGGTCTGGATTTTTCTGGTATTTTTTGCCTCATATGAATTCTCTGTCTTACATCTCACAGCCCACCTCCATCTGTCTCCCAGCACTATTTTTTGGTTCTTTTATTGATATGTAGTACTATCTATATTTTGGGGTACCTGT